ATTATATAAAAAGATGAAACAAAAAAGTTACACAAAAAGTATTTTTGGATTTTTTTATTATCTTGAACTTAAAAAATATGAGGGTAAAAACTCATCAATTATACGATGAGGGGAAAAATCCCTTAAACTTGAAAAGTTAAAGGGCAAAGCTGGAGTTTTTGCCAAAGTATATGAATAAGGTATTGTGAATTATATGACTTATTAAGATCTTGTTTGGTATATTTGTTAAAATTTAATAGATAATGAGAAATGGAAAATAGAGAGTAGTATAAGATAGTGAGTAGTGATTAATGGATGGTAAATAGTAGATGATTGTTAGCATGTAGGAGATTGTAGATAATGAATTTTTACTGATATAATTATTTAATTATACACTACTATATAATTGTTATATAATATTAAATGACTAATCAAAGCATATTTAAAAGTAACTAATGAGTGCATTTTTTCTTTTTATATTTTTATTATTAAAATTATTAATTTTATAAATAAGTTATAAATAAATAAAATACAATATAAAAATATATACCATACAGTACTCATTTTTATTTTTAATAAAAAAATATTATTATTTTTAAATAAATAAAAAACAAACTTTTAATTATTTCATCTAATTAGAAAATTATGCTTATTAAATTAATATAACTTTTTTAATGATAAATTAAAGTAAAAAATAAAAATATAATAATCACTTAATATGATTTAAAATTAAAATTAAAAATAATTAAATAAGTGTTGGTTACATATTGTCACAAAAAATTAAAAAATTAAAAAAAATAAATTTGCCAATAAAGTTAAAAAATCAATTGACTACCAGTTTGGTATAAAAATACTATCTAAAGTTGCCTTTTCAATTTGCTAGCGTTTTTTTACCTTAATTACTATATATCAGTGTCAAATCATTAAATAAAAAATTTTATTAATCATCTATTTTGCAATATTTTCAAAATAAGCAAGTTTAGCAAACACTTACTGTGTAGTGATTTGAGTAAAACCATTAATTGCTATCCTTAAAACACTATACTAAAACACTATACTAAACGAGCTATAACTATCAAAAATAACTAATCTTAGAATCATTTGAACAAATAAAAAGGCAAGCAACTTAATTAAAAACAATTTATAACGTAACAAAATAAAATAAAAGTCCACAAAATCTGAGGTACTAAAGTATTAGAGTTTACTATAACCAATCTATATAGATTTTAAATTAATATAGTTCTATAAAAAAATATTTACTACTCATGTGATAGCTTAATTTCTTATCATATTTAATATATTTTTTAAGTTATACTAAATATATTTTCGCATCTTAACTATTATATTTGTTTGTGAATTATAAAAATTTATTATATTATGTGAAATTCCTTAATATAAAAACAAATTTTTAAATAATATTGCATAAATCATATTGGTCTATTTTTACCTTTCATTTAATTTATAATATATATTATTAGAAATTATTGTTTTAAAATCTCCTTATAGTCTCAATTATGTTTTCTAAATTAATTTTAATGGTGATTAAATATTAAAGCATAAATAACAATGTTATAGACTGCAGAAACCTTTCTTAAACACCCCCAAACTTATTTCAAATTAGCATTTAAGCCCTTAAACTAAAATAATGCAAATAAGCCCTCTAACTTCTCAACTTGTGCAAATAAGCCCTTTATGACTAATAGCACTAATGACCCAAATGGTTAGATTGACTTCATTTGTTCCTTTCCTTTCCATTTGTTCTAGATGATAATGTGTAGGGATCTTTGCACTACTAAAAGGCAAGGTTTCACCGATATGAAAGCACGTCGGTGATCATGTTGCCAAAATAGTACAGCAACGTGAAGCATGTTAGTGAAACCTTTGTTAGAGATGCCTTGCTCAGTAAAATATCAATGACATGTACTA